TTTTTTTCTTTAATGCCCTGCAGCCCCTAGTTATCTGTTAGAGAAGAGAGATGATGAGGCTGTTTCATTTTTTTCATTTTTTTTTCAAAACTCATTAGAGCTTTGTTGTTCTTCTGCTTGCATTCATCTCAGCAGATAACGGCTACAACCCTCAAGTAAACTATCCCTCACTCTCTGGCCTTGTCCTGTGACTGAGTTGTGCTCCAGCTCTCTCCTGCGCTGGGCAGTCACGGTGGATTTCCCTCCATGTGAGACAACATGATAAAAGAYGGGATTGGATTTGCATTCATGAAGTGCTTAGGATGTTCAAAGAAGCTACGGAGCGTTCGGAGTCCTCTCGGACAGCATGCGAGCACGTTAAGATGAGGCCATTTCTCCTCAACAGGCCCCCCTGTGATAGAAATACTGTGATATTTGAAATATCGCCCACCGCCAAAGGCGTAGCTAAAATAATGTTTTAGCCCCTATTCATGTGTGTTAGTTGGTCTGTTATGTAACCAAAASATTTCATGAACCACTGAACAGATTTSAATGAAGCGCTCACTTTTTGAGTCAACTCCAGATGGCCGCTACCGCTAAAAAAAWCTTAAAATGAGGTTAATATGTATTTTTCAGTCATATTGTTCAATTCTATGCCACAATCAGTTATGAAAATTCTGTATATCTCAAAAATAAATGTAACTTTGCAGCATAGCCTATTTAAACACATTGAAATTGGCCTCTGTCTCTTTAAGAACCCCCTACCGTTTCTGACATTCCCACTTCAACCCGTCTTCACAACAATGCTTCGGGGGAGGAGTGTTCTGAGGGGCATGAACTCAGCTGCAGACTGAGCTCCAAGGAGGAACTTTGCACAAATCGGCGGTGCTTTGTACCAACAAATTTTGATGAGGGAATGACATTATAACATAAAGCTCAAAAAAAGTTATATTTACATAATAACCTCCCTTTAACAAACACACAAATGGTTACAGTTAAGTTTTACAGACATTGAGCTCAGTTTTGATGTGGTAGTTAAGAGACATTCTCGCAAGCAAGTTCTGTTTTTTTAGACTTTGCATGTCTGTTAACAAAAAACTCAGGAACCGTTGGGTGTACATCTACTAATTCAGTTTTTTGAGTCAACTCAATTCAAGATGGCCGCCACAAATGACTGACGTTAGGAAACACTAAAATAGCTTAAACGGAGACATGTCCTGCTTTTAAATCCATCTTTTTTTGCATTTAAATTCTTCAGTTGGAGTCTATAAAGTGGAACTGCAATGCTTTGGTCTGAATTCCTCATTATTGTAACTCCACAAGCCCCTCTTTCATTCCTTTTCTGAGGTGTGTCTCAGTTCAACTCGTTTTGAGGCTGTCTCTTTAGATCCAAATGGGGCGCTTCACACCCCCGCCCTCCACCAGCTTCCAGACTGGTCTATTGTAGTTTGACAAAAGGGTTTAAGCAAATATAGAGGTGCATAGACATTTTTTTTACAAATTAAATAAAGATGCAAGGGAAGACTTGTCCATCTAGTCGTGAGTTGAGTCTGACCCAGAGCCAGAGGAGAATGAAGATGATTAAGTTGTAGTAGGTAAGTCCAGTCCATCATGACATACTGTACATCATAATAAATAGAGAAAACTGAACAGGTTGAAAAATATGATCCAAACAGAATATAAATATATCGACACTGCACCAGGAGAGACTAGATTTAACTTTTCTGCACTCCTAGAGACTCCAAGTACACAMAAAAAAAATGCATTTAATGGATAAAAAAAAATAGGATTTTGCATAYGTCCCTTGTAACAGTAAACATTTTAGATATTAGTCTAAAATTTGGTTTGGTAGATGCTGAGCACTATTTTTAAAACAGAAAGCAGTATGTTTTGTCATATTTTTACTTACAGCTTTGGCAGTAACTGTTAGTGCCAACCTCATATTTCTGTTATCAAAATAGCTCATGAACATGGTGAAATTTTCAGACACAAATCGTTGGATGTAGGTCTACAACTGTTTAAATGTTTACAGCCAACACAAAAATGGTTACAGCTGAGTCAGTTTTACAGATATTGAGCTAACAGTGGTAGTAGCTGAGAGTCATCTAGCACATATACAGTGGGTAAAATAAGTATTGAACACATCACCATTTTCCTCAGTAAATATATTACTAGAGGTGCTAATGACATGAAATTTTCACCAGATGTCGGTAACAAACCAAGTGATCCATACATACAAAGAAATCAAACCATAAATGTCCAGAAATGAAGTTATTTGTAATAATRTGGAATGGCACAGGGAAAAAGTATTGAACACATGAAGAAAGGGAGGTGTAAAAAGGCATGGAAAGCCAAGACACCAGCTGAACTCTCTCAGTAATTAGAAAGCAAGCCTGCCCCTTGTCAGTGTAAGTTAATATCAGCTGGTTCAGTCCCAGATGATGGCCAGGTATCACACAAGAACCATCTGATGATGGGTAAAAGTAAACAGCTCTCTCAAGACCTTCACAACCTTATTGTTGCAAAGCATAATGATGGCATCGGTTACAGAAGAATGTCTAAACTTCTGAAGGTTCCAGTGAGCACTGTTGGGGCCATAATTCAGAAGTGGAAAGAACATTTTTTCACCATAAACCGACCACGACCAGGTGCTCCTCACAAGATTTCTGACAGAGGAGTGAAAAGAATTATCAGAAGAGTTGTCCAAGAGCCAAGGACCACTTGTGGAGAGCTTCAGAMAGACCTGGAATTAGCAGGTACGTTTGTTTCAAAGAAAACAATAAGTAATGCACTGAACCACCATGGCCTGTATGCACGCTCACCACGCAAGACTCCACTGCTGAAGAAACAGCATGTTGAAGCTCCTTTAAAGTTTGCTGCACAACATTTAAACAAGCCTGTGTAATACTGGTAGAATATAGTCTGGTCAGATGAGACCAACATTGAACTGTTTGGATGCCAGAATACACATCATGTTTGGAGGTCAAATGGCACTGCACATCAGCCCAAAAACACCATACCAACAGTGAAGTTTGGAGGTGGGAACATCATGGTGTGGGGCTGTTTTTCAGCATATGGTACTGGCAAACTTCAAATAATTGAAGGAAGGATGAGTGGAAAAATGTACAGAGACATTCTTGATAAAAATCTGCTTCCATCTACCAGGATGATGAAGATGAAACGTGGCTGGACATTTCAGCAAGACAATGAGCCCAAACACAAAGCCAAGGAAACTCTCAGTTGGTTTCAGAGAAAGAAACTAAAGCTGCTGGAATGGCCCAGCCAATCACCTGACCTGAATCCAACAGAAAATCTATGGAAAGAACTAAAGATCAGAGTTCATAGAAGAGGTCCACGAAAACTTCAAGATTTGAAGACTGTTTGTGTGGAAGAATGGGCCAAAATCACACCTGAGCAATGCATGCCACTAGTTTCTCCATACAGGAGGCGTCTTGAAGCTGTCATTGACAACAAAGGCTTTTGTACAAAGTATTAGATAAATTTCAGTAAGTGTGTTCAATACTTTTTCCCTGTGCCATTCCACATTATTACAAATAACTTCATTTCTGGACATTTATGGTTTGATTTCTTTGTATGTATGGATCACTTGGGTTGTTACCGACATCTGGTGAAAATYTCATGTCATTAGCACCTCTAGTAATATATTTACTGAGAAAAATGTTGACGTGTTCAATACTTATTTTACCCCCTGTACTTTAATTGCCAATATTACAATAATGTGTTTAACAAGGTTTGACCAAAGAGGAGTTTAGGTTCAAACTCTGTCATGAAAAGTGGCAGGTGGTGCATTCTGTCAAGGAATGCTCCACCTTTCTTTTTCCCCCTCTCTTTTCTCTTAATGGATTTACTTGAAATGTCTTTTCTCTCCCCGGGTCAGAGATCATAAAAGCCACCAGTGCCCGAGAGATGGCTCATGTGTCCAGTCGACACGGCCTGGAGCCCGCACCACATAAAAGAACACAACAATCAGCCAATATGAGCTCAGTGCTCCAGCTGCAAGCTGTGATTCAGAGTTATCCGGAGGCTCACAGCCAACTCCCTGAGTTATTGCCCAAAAAGAACACTTTGCTGCAAAGAGTGGCTTTGGCCTAAACTGCAGTGATGGATTGTGGTTTGGAATTGATAAGAATCTCTGAGAGAGAGCTTTGATGAATTTTTCATACAGATGTTTTTCATGAGCATGACCTCACACCCCCTGATGCTTATGAGCATCGATTCACAACTCAAGGAATGGGGAAAAAAAGGTTGACATGACATGAGAGACAAACTCAGAAAAAAAGCTGCCTGTAAGTTGCACATGAGATGGGAATTAGATGTTGCCACYTTCAGATGAAGGTTTTTCTGCGGCGCGCCAGCAGAGCGAGGAGGGAGAGGAAGAGCAGAGCAGAGTGACAATCCTAATTTGAACTCTGGTGCGCACATTCTGGCTGCAGGAGACATATGGAGCTGCTCGGCGTGGGCTGCCCTAAATCATCATGTTTACGCAGTTTAACAGCCCAGATCTTTGTATTTGCATTTATATTGAAGCGGTTTTTGCCGTTTTTCTTGTTTCTTTGAGCTATAAATGAAACGCGCGTTTGTGTAAACATGTGGCTTGAGACATGCCGGGAACAGTAACCTAAAGAGGAAAACTTGAAAACATTATAGGCCACAGGAGGGACAAGACGGGTGCTAATGCAGCTTAAAGGGAGGCACTTCTGTGATGTTTGGAGACTATGTTGGTTGGGAGAGGCAGAAAAAAAGTGGAGCATATGTGGCGCAGTGGACTTTCCGTGCAGGACAAGCCTGAGTGATTTTCCCTTTTCTCAACAATTCTTTATGCTGAGAGCGGGTTTATGTGGCGCGCAGCTGCGAGGGCGCGTGGTGCGCGCGAGCCGCCGCGGAGAGGTGTAGAGACAGAGGAGCCTCCTGGCCAGCCTTTCAYAGGGTGGGGTTCACCGAGGAGCTCAAGTCCCTGCGCGCCGCGCCACGCCCCCCACCCCCCCGCGCGCCCGGCGCTGTCCGGTAAGTGTGGTGCTGAAACGCTGGATCAGAAACCGCCTGCAGCGCTGTGGACCGCCTGCACGCAGTCCTCCTGCATGGAGCCGCGACACGGATCTCCCAGCATGATGAGGCTGAAAGTTCAGGGGGCTCCGAAGGAAGAACCGCGCCGTGGATAACTATGAAGGAAATGTTTGCCAAGTGCTTTTCTTTTCTTTTCTAATCTGTCCGCCCCCCACCTCCTGAGTCGTCTGGAGGTGTATATAACTTACCACCAACATGATTTGGGGTGTTTTGCTGTGCTGCCTTTTAACATTAGCAGCTGGATATCAAACCCAGGGTCGACTGCCTTTCTTTCACGGCCATATTTTTGAGAACTCGCMGGCAGGTTCCAAAGTGAGCGGACTGAGCATTCCGGTGAGGCGCATCAACGCGCAAAAATGGTGCCAGCTCTCCGGGATGCGCTTCAAACTGCACGGGAATGGCAGTGAGGATTTCCGCGCCTTCGCCCACCACAAGCGGGGGAACGTGTTACTGAAAACTTCCAGGGTTTTGGACCGGGAGGCTCGCTCCGAGTATCTGCTGAGCGTGGGTCTGTGCTGCCAGACGTGCGCGTCGGAGTCCTCCGTCGTGGAGGTGGCGTCGGTAAAAGTGGACGTACTGGACACCAACGACCACGAGCCGACCTTTGCCCGCGCGGACAGCATCCGCATCCGTTTGGACGACACCGCGGCGCTGCGCAGCGCCGTCTACAAGCTGCGGGCTGCGGACGGAGACAGCGGGAGGAACGCGGAGTTAACGTACGCGTCCGTCCCCAAAAACGGCACTTTCTACGTAGTCCCGAAAACAGGCGAAGTTCTGCTGGTGGACTCAATCCTGGGGTTCCCCTCCACAATCAGGTTCTATGTTTACGCCAGAGACCACGGCTGGCCCTCTCTGACCAGCGAAGCCGTGCTGGTTACTGTTGAGCCAAAACGGTGGGGGGCGCGTCCGGCTGACGCACCGGGGCCACGGAGGGCAGCGCGGATCCCGAGGTCGCTCCTCGAGCCCGGCACCGTGTTGACCCTCAACGTGTCCGAAGATGCGGGCATCGGGTCGGTCATAATGAGCCTGAGTCCCGCCAGGTTTCAGTCAGCCGCCTACGAGCTGGTTTACCCGGAGCTGGAGGGCTCTCCGGTGTCGGTGGGACGCGACACTGGAGATGTCACCATAACCCGGAGGCTGGACAGGGAGACGGAACCTGTGGTGGAGCTTACTGTTAAGGTTCAAGACAAACGAGGTGTGTTGAGTAATCCTAAACCATTCTGAGATTAAAGTTAGGCCATGCAACACTCCTCCCCTCTATATCCCCCCCCCCCCCCACACACACACACTCAACTCCAATTATTTGCTTTATGTCCTACTTTAATGAAAAGCTGCACATGGTTAAACCCTGCCACCATCTGGAGCCCACACTCTTCATTACATGGACCCCCTCATCAGATCTGATGTTGAGTAAAGTCATGTAGGGTCATTCCACAAGCGCCTTACTGTCACCCAAACACAGAAACACAATCAGTGACACTATTTAAGATTTCTTTCTGGTTTACTCTCATTTGACCATCTTTTGTTGCAGTGCACAACATCCCAGTCATTTTTCAAACAACAGGGGGCAAATTTTATTAAGTGTCCCTTTTAAACAGTCTGATTTATGTCCTTGACTGACATAGTTTGTGAGTGTGAAGTTGTTTTCAGAGCTAATCCTAGCAGAGTGGCAAACCACAGCGACCCTCTCCCTCTCATCAACCGGCATTACCCCTCTAATCCTCCTCCCATTCACTCTCTAGTCCCAGGGATTTGAAGTAGCACTGCTATAATCAGGAAACCTCTCAGTTATTTGTAGAAAAGAAGAAGAAGAAGAAGAAGAAGAAGAARAAAGTGAAATTATGGGCAGTTGAGTTTTGTTTGTTGCTCCTACAAAAAAGGGGGTTTGGCTTTGTGCTTAAAAAGCAAAAGCGTGACAAAAAAATACAAACAGAAAGGAGAAAACAAGGAATCAAAACGATTTGCTTTGTAATTGAGCCTCACGGTGTGCAGGAAACAGCGTGCACTGCTTTCTTTCAGATTGCCTGCCACTGCTTCGTTTCGCAGCATGTTCAGGAGTGTAATTGCATGCCTGATTGGGTTGCGTTCTTGCAAAAATTGTGGGGTGGGGTGGGGTTTGGGTATGTGGAGGATTTTGGGAAAATTGTCAGAAATTTTGAAGCTTTTTATCCCCCTCACCCCCCTCCCTCTCTCCATTCACAGATGAATAACAGAACTCATCCTCTCTTCTCTGGCAGATATTCAGATACCTTTCTCCGCTTCTCCTCTCTCACCTGCAAAATTTTTCCTCCTGTGATCAAAGGCATGCCGTGTCCTTTATCCCTGCGACTATAGCTTTTCAAACAGAAAGCCTGACAGCACGATGGAAGGACGGGCCTTTCTTCAGCTTGTCTCATTTCCAATCTGTACATACACTTCTCTCTGATAGAATAAGCCCATTTTAGCCTCTTTTGATGATCGTTTATCGAGGTTGAACCAAATCTCCCACGTGACTGTGCATGCAGGTATTAAATCTGCGCTCTGTTTTTAACAGTAACAGTTCAAGCCCATGAGGATGTTTGTGTGTTTGGCACGTGTCTTTGTAGATGCTTGTTTTGGTGTGCACACGTGCCTGAATGGTCACATAAAATTGACCCCAGGAGCAGTATTGGCAGTTTTAATGAGGCCCCATGCCTTCCATCAGCTTCACTCTTGATTTTTTTTTTACCAGAGTGAGCTCTCTGTGGCAATGAGCTGTCCGTGTTGCTGTCAGTCACCTGCTGAATATTAAACATACATGAGCTATTAGCATTACAGCTAAATTACTGAATCAATTAAAGGCCTGGTATTCATTTAAAGCACATGTGTCAAACTCAAGGCCCACAGGCCAAATCTGGTCCTCRTTACCATTTTATCTGGCCCCAAAAGTAACACAGAAATAATTTTATGATTTCTCTTTTTGTCTCTGTATTTAGAGCAATCTTCTCATGACAGCTTGACAGCTTTCAAGCCAAAAAATAAAACAACAACAACAAMAACAACAACAAAACTAATCTTTAATCTTGATGTGGAAAGAGCTACAGAATCAATTTTAATGATGCTTTTCTGTATTTTATTATTTTTTCCAGGCACATTGTTCTGTTCTATACAATAATCATATGTTACGTGTAGTTGTAAAGAAAATTCTGTATAAATCAAAATTAAATTTGACTTTGCATCATAGTCTATCTGAATGCCTTGAAATTGGCCTCTGTCTCTTTAAGAACCTCCTACCATTTCAGACACTCCTGCTTCGCGTGTCATCACAACAATGCTTTCAAGGGAGGGGTGCTCTGTGGGGTGGGAGCTCAGCTGCAGACTGAGCTCCAGGGAGGAGCTTTGTACAAATAGGCGGAGCTTTGTACCAGCAAGTGTTTAGGCAGCTCCATACGGCTATCACAGGCAATTCAAGGATTTCACATGCATGAATGTGTCAAAGCAACACTATTTATTTATTTATTTATTTATTTATTTATTAGGGAATGACATAATGTGATATGAAGCTAAAAAAAAGCCAAGTTTGCAAAATACCTCACCTTTAAAGTCAAATATTAGGATTTTTGGTAAAGTTTTGTTATTTTTTGCCTCATTTGCTGGATTATGATAAAATGTATCTTTAAGAAATAATAAATAAAAAATGTTGTTGATAGAGATCAAGGCATAAGAAATGAATGATGGTGTCTTCATGAATTTAATCTTGTTTGTTTATTTGTTAAGTTATGTATGATACAACTGCTACATAAAGTGCGATTTGGGAAAGATAATTTGTAACATTTTGTTATCTAACATTTCCTTATAAAATATTGTCAGAAATTGGCTCTTGGCTTGGACCAAGTTTGGAATTTTGGCTCCCTTGTGCAACTTGACATTTAAGGAATGCATATTCCCCGCTGTCTTTATGCCAGGCCTTTAGATTAAGATTATTTTATGATGAGAATAAAGGGAGTTGTAGCTGTTTTGATCAAACCTTGTATATGACAATGATTGATCTCATGCAAAATTGCAGTAACCGTTGGTGCTCAATCAGCGCTAACTATCGGCTATTATTACAGATAATTGCTCAATATCTGTAAAGTTGTCTGAGTTACATCCATTCTGGTGTTTGCTAAGGTTGCTGTACCTGCTGTCTAAGATTAACTCAAAAAGTTGAATAGTTGTAGATGCCTAAGCAATGCAGTCTGTGAGTTCCACTTGAATCCATCCACATGGTCATAAGATACAAACAAACACACAAATAGGAAGAAAAACACGATCGCCTCTTTGCCTTCAGCGGGTGATATCTATTCACTTGAGCAAAGTGGACAACAGTTTTCCTCTACAGCAGTGTGGAAAACTGTGCTCACAGAAATCAATACCTGAGCTAAATGTGCTCCTCAGAGATAAAAAGGCAACATTTGCTGAAATAGTATAGACGTTTAGTTTTAAAGCATCATTCAGTCATTTATTATTAATTTAGGCCCTAATTTGGCCACACAATAGCTTTTATTTATGAATCAGTTTTGATCATTTTTGAGCCTTTGYTGTTCTTTTTTCCCACAGCAGCACTAATGTCTTGTAGAGTGAAATAGTGCTGAAACCCTTTCAGCCTTCCGGATCTGTTCAATTCCACATAAATAACATCATCAGGCTTAAAGACAAGTCATAAAAAAATAAACAAACCAGGCATATTCACTGCAGGAAGGATGTGATGTGAACTGCTGTGGGGAGCGTGACAGAGCTGCAAGGAAAAAGAAAAACCCTCTCCGCTGGCTTAGGCTTGATCCCTTCTGATGATATTGTGGTCCGACCCTGTTTTGCTGCATCCAGCGATCACTGAGCGGTGAACTTTGAATTTCACCAGCATTTTCTGAACCAAACTCTTTATCCATTAGAAATGCTGCAGAAGGACCTGACATAAGCAGCTCATGTGGGAAATAAATAAATAAAAACACCAACATCTCTGAGTAAAAACTCTTACGTTCAGAAGAATCAGATGATTTTTTTGCCCAATCTGATGTGTCTGATTGCCTGTTTTTTTTAAAGCAACAGTTAATGAAACAAAAGGCAAAGGTTCACCGTTTCCCACTTATTTTCAGATGCGTGGTGTGTCTAAATTTGTGCACTTATGATTAATTTGATGTTTTCAAGTGCTTTAGTTTAATGTTCACTTAAGCAGATAATTCCAAAATAACACAGGATGCATTTTGTTTGTGTGTGTGTGTCTGTGTGTGTGTGCATGTGTGCACATATTATCTGCTGGTAAACGCACATTTACTTATACGTAGTTTATAGCGAAAGCTTTTATTAAGCAGTTAACATGGGCATGAAAAGCTAATCACAGTGGTGTGAGGCTTTCTCCTGTTAATAGGTTTACTGTGGGTACAGCATTATGATTAGAGCCATCAGAAGAGCTGTTATTAGTGTTGTTCAAAYAGAGATTAAAAAGCCAAGTCTGACAGTTAGATATGCTGCCACTCTGCAAACACATGGAGAGACAGAGCAGCAGCTCTGGATTACTGAGTTGATCCTCGCTGACTTACCTGGGAAAGAATGTGCTTAGCTGACTCCCAACACAGATTCCTACTGTAGGTCTGAGCTTTGGACATTTAAATACTGTTAGAGTCTGTTACATTCACCACAAACAATTTTAACAGCTTTTAATTTGTATGAAAAGAGATTCAGCATTCACAATTTTGTTGTCCTGTTTGTTAGTTTTTGTACATATTTTGCTATCTGTTTGTTTACTTTGTGCTATTTTAAAGTTCAGCCTTTTCAGGAGATGGGTGCTGTAGCTTTTAGCTGTTGTATCTTTARTATTTTCGCCATATTTAGCTTAATTTCTAAAAAAAATTCCCCACATAATTGCAAAGATATCTTTTTTGTTCCCTTTGACTATTGTTCTCTTTGAAATCTGCTACAACAAACAGGTTTTATTTTTGTCGACATAGTTTATGCTTTTAGCTAGTCTATTGCTACTTTTAGCTTCTAGCTAMCCTTTAGTTTCTTATTATAATGTTTTGCTAGCTTATTAGACATTTTAGCTTTTASCTATCCTTTTAGCACTATACTTTCACTTTACTCACCAGCCTTTTGCTACAAAATAGCTTTTAGTTAGCATTTTGCTACGTTTAGCCTCTCTTAKCTTCTGCTAATAGTTTGGCTACTTTTGCTGGTGTTTTGATTAGTTTAGTTAGTCAG